TGGGCGTAGAGGCTCTCCGATTTTATGGTCTTTCGGGTTATAATAGTAGTTCACAATCTTCTGTTGTGGGTTTCAAGAGTTCGTATTGTTTTTGTGTTATCTGCTTGCTCGTGAGGAGGTGTCGTAACATCTGGTCGGTGTTTTGAATCATCTGGTCTATCGGATTATATGCAATTTCTTCGTATGCATTTGTCTTCTTCATGTATTCATCTGATTTTTTCTCGTAATTTTCTGGTCGGTCTAAATGGAAAATTTTTGACTTGTCTGTCTTGCGAAAGACTACGTTTTTGTCTTTCTGTTGTTTCTGGAAGTCGGCGATTGTGGCATCGAACGTCTTATCTATTGGCTGCTTTATAATTTCTTGTCTTAGCTCGCCGTGTACTCTTTTGGCGAATTCGTCAATTACTAGTCTTGGGATGTTTCGTGCTTTGATATTTTTATTGAATTTTACCTGTAATTTTTCTCTCATTGTTTCGATCTCTGCTGGAAGGCGCTTTAATGCTGTTTTGAGGTTTGGATGGAGGTAACCTGGTCCTTTGTTCAAGACTGATCGCTGGTATTCATCTAAATTGAGAGCGTAATTTTTCGTTTGGGGTGGGTATCTTATATTCGAAAAGTGAGGATGTGGCTGAGCTATGGGTTCATCTTTAATGGCTAGGTGATTTCGGTTTTTGAAGCACCTCTTTCTAAAAAATAAATCTTATTTTTTGCTTTTTGGGTTGCTCGTTTTTCCAAATTTTCGAGTATAATTTCGATGTGTACCATGAAAGTTGGATCTGATGTGCGGAGTTTTTCTCGATATATCTCTACTTCCTTGTTGATTTCGTCGATTTCCAACTGTTTGGCTTTTAGCATACATTGAGTAAGTGTGATTTTTGCCTGTCTGAGGGCTCCTTTCCATGCTTCTTTGATAGTGAGCATCTCTATGTTATCGTCGGGGATATGTGAGCGTAGAGTTACATCTAACTGTTTTAGTGATGGTGGGGGGACGGTTAGATTCATACGGGCTTCGAGTTTTAATAATTGTATTTGCAATTCATTGCGTTTTTCGGAGAGGTCAATGACCATACGGATGTTTTTGGATTCTTCAGCTGTTTGTACCGTTATTTTTAGTAAATCTCGATGCTTCTTCAATGATTTGTCTATATTCAAGTTGATCAGTCTTTTCTCATGGGTTGTTTGCACAGCTATCAGGAATGGTGATACTGAACGGTCAAGGAACGTACCGATGGCCTCAAAAACCTCGTCTCGTGCTTCAGTGGTTTTTGGTTCGTATGGTATATTGTCCAAGATTTTTGTTTTAAACATTACCAAGTTATAGTCAGCTCTTCGATATTTATCGAAGTATTCATGTTGTTTCATCTTGATATTTTCAAGCGTTATGTCTATGTATTCACTGTAGAAGAGTTTGCATATCTCTTGCGGTATAACCGGGAATTTACCGGGAAAAGGGTCTGATTCATTCATTATGTGATCATTATCTTCTTCTATACATATTAGATCGAGTTCTTGTTCGATAGGGTTAGCAGCATCGTAATATGCGCTCCATAAGTCTGTTTTTAGTGAAAAATACTCTTTTAGAAGATAAATTTTTTGTGTGTCATATAAGATGCTCAAGTCTATGTTTTGCAAAAAATCTGGGATGTCTTTGAGCGAGTTCTCTATTACAAAATCTTTCGGTATTATTTTATCGGTATTTTCTGTAAAATCAAGTGAAAAAGGGTCAATTGGATTTTGTTTTTGGAGTGCTAGGACAAGTTTTTCGAAATATCGGTGAAATGTAAGCACCATTTGTTGACGACCGTGAAAGCTCGGGTGTAAGCCGTCTCCTAGAGTGTTTTGGTTGAATTTGAAGTCAAGAACATCAAAATCTAAAGTTTTTGAAAGTGACTCCATTTTTTGGTTTAATAGCTCTATTTCTTTATTCATTGTTGTTACGGAGTGATTGTAGAATGATGTGGTTTTTGTATGATATTGAATTTTTACAAATGAAATACGCTTTATATTGGGATAAAGTCGTTTTGTCGTTTCTATGGGTGTTTTTATACGATCGATTACTGTATTTGCATCGTCCCATGCGATGTCATTTGTTCCTACTACAAATATCAGACTTGCAGCATCGTATAATAAATATCTGTACCGTCCACTGGAAATTTCTACTTGATATTTGTATATTGTGTGACCTGAAATTGATTTTATGCGAACATGGTTGTTTCGATTGTAGAGTTGTGATGTCCGTATACGAGAGGCCATCGATGAGGAGAGAATGATGTGAATAGGGCGCAAAATAGGAGAAGCCTGTGCTTGTCCGATTGGGATTTCCTGGTTGAACCTATTACTTTGAAACAAAGTTTTCAGATAGTTTTGAAAATGCTATAGATCGGTTGGCGGACTGAGGGCATCTGCAAAATAGACGGTTAACTACTCCGAAAAGGTGCATAGATTTTTCCTGCAGAGGTCAACAGACAGAACAGTCCCTGATCGTATGTCGAAAACCGGCTATTTCTTTAGGATTTTCTATTCAGAACTCCTATTTTGAAACTGATTGCATATTTTAAATTCTACATTCAAAACTGAAGCAATATAGTCTTATATTAGAATTTTTTATACCTCCTCGGTTAGACTATGGTCTGAGTGTTTCCATTAGAAATGATCAGCCTTTACAGGAAAGGGGCAGAAACTAGTAGACTTTTGAATGCTAAAGATTTTGGCCATATAAGACTATGACATTATTACCTTTGTTCTTGGGTCTTTCAACGTGGATCTATTGTAAAGTGCACCTAAAAAGGACCTCCTTCTCTTGGAAGTTCCATCTTAACTTTTTGTTGGACTTTTCTGATAGGACCTACTCAGTGCTTTGAACACAGCGGCGGATGAAGCATAGGAAAATATCACGTTAAAATTTCGGTCATGTATAGCTACTCAAATATGCAATCAGTTTCAAAATAAGAGTTCTCGGCAGCAAATACCTAAGGAAATAGCTGGTTTTCGACGTACGATCAACGCCTGTCCGGCCTTATTGGCCTCTGCGCGAAAAATCTATGCACCATTTTGTACCAACTTATCTGCAACTCTCCAAATACCCTCTATCCGTCAATCGATCTATACTATTTTTAATCCTATCTGAGAACTTGGGTCATTTCTGTCTAGAAGATTGAAACAAAAGTTGCGCGATACCGGACAATTCTCAGTCTAAACTTAAACAACAGTTTGTAGGTCGTGAGTAATGTTATCATTTATGCAAGAAGGTGCTCTAAATGATTTGCAGATGTCAGAATAACATGTGTAAACAATAGATTGAATAAATGTAATCGGTTTATTGCCCTTAACTTCGGTATGAATACATTAGCAAATAGAAAATGTGTAATATGAGTAGAAATGGTAGGACGTATGAAAGTGACAAGTAGTACAGTTGAAATTCGAAACGTTGTGTGTTTTTTATGTATTCAACAAGAAGTCTATACAATGCTGAAAGTTTTGTAGTATCTACATTTTCAAATTTATCTAGAAAAAGACGATTGTTTAGTATGAAAGATAACTCAGGTGCGATACTACACCAGTCATCCTTTACATTTGAACGAAGATGAAGCATAACGTTTTCAAATCAGCTTTGCCTGACAAACTCGAGTATGATATCATAGTTCACTTTCAAGAAAATTTATACTGAAGATAATTTTCCTCGAAAACTGACCTGTATACTTTGTCTCGGGAATGTCAAAAAATATCGAATAGCAAAACTGTCGAATTGAAAAAAATGTCGAAACTTAAAATATCGAAAAAAAATGTCGAAAATAGGTCACAAAGTCCTCTTTTTCAACGATTAGAGATCCTAACAAGCTAGATGACCTCTGTTGAGAGTTCTAAGTGACTTTCCTCTACTAGTTGAACTAGTAGAGCAATGTGACTCAGTCGGCTAGTGGGCAGACAACGTACTTCAAACATACGGAGTTTGAATCCCGACAACGGCGGTCGCGTTATAGCCTTGGACAAGCTATCTAACGTTCATTGTCTGAGTATCTTTAGACACAGATGGAATGGAGTTACCCGATTTCAATGGCACTGGGCTGGAGGGATGAGAGTTAAAGTTTAAAAACTAGTTTAACTATCCATGAAAGAGCAAAGTAATCGTGCTTTGCAGAGAACTTCTAGCAATACACAAACGCTTTTCGTGGCCTTTTTTAAGCAACAAAAAAGACGTCAACAGTCATTGATATTATTCTGTACATTCCCGGAAGTGTGTCTGCTGCAAATGCATACACGGTACGGCTTGCTTTAGAGACGAAAAAGCATCAAAATCTGATACAGAAAGAGCTTAATGCTCACTGAAAGGCGATCTTTTCATCCCCATTCACGCAGCATTACCCACTCACAAGTACGAGTAGGTAAAAATAACCCCAAACCGAGTTTTGCTGGCAAACATAACTTCTGAGAAACAGGCATTTTCTATCTGAATGGTCAACAGGGATTGCCATAATGACAGCTGTGAAATAACCTAGAGTGTCGAGATCAACAAATACGGTAAAAAAACAGAATTTTATGCGGCACTGTAATAAGTAGACAGTAGTACGGTTCGGTTTATAGAGCAATTCTTTCAGTCTAGGAAATAAATAACTGACTAATAACTGACCGTAAGTCGAATAAATATACTGTCGGGAATATTATTCATTTTATTGTAACTCAATCTTGCTACTACAGAATTGAGCGATATTTTTTACAATGAGAGTAAAAAACACTATTGTAACAGCAGTTATTAGTGGTATCTCTAAAAGAGTGGTTCCCAAGCCACGACAAGGATAAATCTGTCGGCTTGACCACTTTTGTTATCTTATTTCGTTTGTTTTACTATCTTTCTCTTCGCTCAATAAGTGCTATGTGGATAACATAAATAGAAAACTGAAATGGAATATGTTTCAGTCATCTGTCTCTTTACAATGGTATTGCTATCCTAGATATTCGATCAGTCTCTTTGTTCCGTTGACTTCAGTCTAAAATCTTGCAAAATGGTTGTCTGTCTGTGTGTATGTATGTAAAATACGGGAAAACGGCTGTCAGATATATCATGGATAAACCAATCATAACGAAGATAAGTAGACATCTTTGTAAGCATAAGAGAGAAAACAAGGTAACGCTCGTCCGCACTCGCTCAGTTCCTTGACTTTAGGAACTTATATCTGCAAACGAACTCCCATAACTTTGAATAGAAGACAGCTCTCACACCTTCCTTCGGTCGGTGTTCGCTAGAGACTATTTACAATATGTTATGAATATTTCTCTAATTTGATGCGTACGCTTCATAATGTAATATAAATCTATAAAAGTTTTCTGGAGATTCCAAAAGAATCCCAGAGGTCTAAAATATATTTCTAAATTCCAGACAATGCTCACGTGTCCCTTCGGACCGCGTGCGCAGCCAGAATAGGTGTAAATGCACTTCTCTCATTCCACAGAAAACCCGCACGGATGTACCCATGTGGATATACGTCCATCACACTGCCACATGTTCATAGGTATGTACCTCCGTCACACTGCTATATGCCTATGTGTGAGTCGTTTGCAACTTTTTTGTACAATTGATGAAAAAAAATGAAAGTGAGCTCAGATAAAATCTGAGTTGTACATCTTGCTCAGCGTTATTTCCTGAGTCTAACGATAAGTTCCCCTACTATCGGACGTGTATTGGCAGAGAAAAACGGTCCAGAACTTTTGTCTTTCCAATCAGTAAGAGTTTTGGGAAAAATCAAACTAACCTTTACGTTAAAAGGCAGATATTATATATCAATCGATACCTCTCAATGAGTTTTTATGCTAATTAAAAATGCTAATTGTCAAGGTCATCGAAGTGCTTTATCTGTTCAATTTTGGAAGCTCCATCTTTCTGTGGCAGTTTTATCGAGATCGGTTCAGTACTTATCAATTCAGATTCGGTATTATCAGTCACATTTATGCTTTCGTGGGTCTAAGACTAACAAATGATAATGTCATAGAAAAAGTTAAAAAATGAACGCCAAACGAATGTATTTTCATTGATGGACAGTTTTATAGTGTTGCTTAATATTTTAAACATTCATGTGAATCATTTTAAGTTTAGTTGACACAAATTATTCAATAAGTTAAGTATTAAAATGCATTTCACATGCGAGTATTTTTTCAAGTATTTATACAATATTTAAAATATTGAAAGAAAAATATAATGATGATCCATTGTCGAAAAAATAGTTAGATTATGCAGCTAAAGTGACATTAGAATTACCAGTCATTATGTATGGAAAAATATTTGATAAAACTGAAGAAGTTTATTTAGCTGATAGTAGAGGAATATTAACGTTGACTGAACATTTATGTTTTAAAATAGAAAATGAGCAAAATATATTTGGAGATGATATCTCAACATTATACAAAAGCATAGCAATGGGTATTGCACAAATATTAGGCGTAAAAATGTTCCAATAAAAATTGATTGACGATTGTTCCACTGGCATTCCATTTGGTCAGCGCGAAAAACTACCAACAAGAATTCAACATTTAATGGAGTCATATCCAGAATATAAAGATATTTTACAGGAACTACTACAAAATGCAGATGATGCTGGTATCCTTCACTTTATATTTAATCCAGTAATCATTCAAGAGAGAGAATTTTTTAGACTACAACATGATCTACCAAATATAAATACAATACCAAACAATGCACCAGTTCAAGGTCCAGCATTGTTGTGTTGTAATAATTGTCCGTCCGCATTCGAAAGCTGATTTCAAAGGTAAACTTTGTCCTGTCAACTTAAGCAAGTGATAGAAAGTATTCCATTTGCCTAGACGTTTGCTTTTGATTTTTGCTTGCGTATGTTGCGTAACCTATTGCGTAAAAGCAGATCTTAGGGAAATGTAAAGTCTATGGGCATAAGCATTTATCCATAAATTTACTATTGACTCATTTTCACTCAACGAGATGTCCCTTACTCGTTTACCTCATCTTCCTGAGTCTCGGACTCGGATCTTCCTGGGTTTCCATTGTTATCGTTATCGTTGCTCGATTTAGAGTAATTACTAAATTCGTTCGAATCGATGAGGCTACGGGTGACAGTGAGCATAAATTGAGATTCTTTGTCATTCAACGCATGTCAAAATTTGATGCTTTTTGCAAAAGTAACGGTCTTTAAGCTTTTTATATATTCGGAAGCAACATGTTCGCTTATGTTGTACTGCGCAAATATCTCCTCAGGATGCACGAGTTTTTTGAGTCTGTGAAAGCTCGCGTAGATTTTTATAGTATCTAATAAGAGTTCATCTATGAAGTCAAAAAAATTCCGCTTTTCTGCGTTCTCTTTGATGTTCATTTTTCTGCAGGTCTCTAGCTTTTTTTTGTTCAAAAGTTATTCGAAAAAGGCAATGTAGATGTTCTTGTATCACACGCAGATGCTAGGATCTTCTTTAAACGAACTATGCAATTCATTCATGGCTGAAGAACTAGGTACCATGTTATCCAAAGTCAAAGACGAACAATTCTGGTATGTGCAGCAAAGCAGATCTCAGTTGTCACAATAGTGAAATAGTTGCGATACATAATTTAATTATCACACGTTGTTATATTTACATAATAAAATTATGTATCGACAAGATATATCTCATACATTTGCACCTCATTTCAGTAGTTGTACAAGAGAAGCAACAAGTTCTTTTCCAAAACACATTTATCATTTTGTTGTTATTATTTTATAGAACGATATTCAAACCTCAACAACGAAGATGTTAAGTAAAAAAATTAGCATATTTTTTCTAATAACAGTATCATCGATGACAATGTCACTAGCAAATAAATTATCTACGATTGACGACCTTATTCATGATGATGGCGCGGATATTGATGACGAAGTATATTTGAATAAAAGGACTCACAAAGAAGGTAATCTGTATGCGCCATGCTCTCTCAAATCAGGGCTCTGTGGAAAATGCTTATAGTTCCTGAACAGCACAAGCTAAAGAGCTGGGCCCTGTGTATATCAACAGGGAACAATTTTCTCTATCGAATGGTTGTATTAGAATTTCAAAGCCAACGGGAAATCTTTTCGCTAGGTAGTGCCTAATATCTCAAGCGAAAACTCACTTGATTGGTCAATTGTCGACCAATCAGTCTCGACATTTCTATATAAAAAATATTATTTTCTTTCGAATGTTGAAAAGCGCAGGTCTCTGGCTGCTTCCTGTCGGGAGTTATTCAACTGGCAACCGAGTGCATTGTTCATTGAAATGGATAGTAGTGATGTGTTCATATCGGTTCTCGGATAACAAAAAATTTATGAAACTTAATCAGCCAAGTGTCGTGTTACGTGGAGAGGCCGCCTTATTGTCTGGGTATTCATTCTCTTACGATATACTAGACTACCAGTGTGTATTCATAAGCATAACCGTGATTCGAAATAGTTCAAAGAAGTGAGGATTTAATCAGTTAGATAAACTGCGAATTTTTTCTTTCTTGGCTGTTCGGTGATTAAACAGAAAAAGAAAATACGTCTCAACCGAAAACTAGTCGTAGACCAAATACTAGCAATCTAGACCAATGCTCTTAACATACTTTTCTCTGAATGATTTAGTCATCGAAAGTCTCATTCACCTCCTACACAGGGCTATAAAAGCGACGTGTTATTTATCGAACAGTCGACGAAGTAACCTGTAGCTCTTCTAAGTGACAATAGTACAAAAGTAGTTTTCTATCAGCAGGTCTAAATGAAATGTGCTTACTGTATGCAGAAGAGCTTTTCTAGTTATGTTCTTTGGCGTCGCTATGACAGTGAGCCAATTAAGTATTCGTCGGATGATAAAAAGTATCCTGTATTCGCATTTTCTTGTTACGAAGAGGGCTCGAATAATTCTTTTTTTCACCATTGAGTAGAGTCATGTCTGGTATGTCGCCTATGGTTAGCTGCAGATTTTCATCCAATATTCTTCATATATAATAAAACTTTTTCAAACTTGACTATCTTTTAAGACCAAACAAATACTTGTCCGATTAAGTTTTCTTATATTTAAAGATTATTCTTCAAAACTTAACTGAATAAAATCCCCTCTTTCGGTTTTTATTTACTTCGTAACGTTTTTACTTCGAAGAAGTCTTCTTCACACATAATTAAATGAACACAACATATATTTATATATAAGGTGCTCCAAATTCAAAGTTTATGCACTATTTCATTTTGAGGTATATTATACACGCTTCGATAGAGTTCGACGAGCTGATCAAGAATATGTAGGTTTTAATTTAAGGTGTCCGCAATTCAAAGGTGCAGCACTATCTTAACTTTCGGTCGAAAGCTATATAGTCGGATAGCCCTTTTTGAGCTGATTCCGAATATCACCTTTTGATTCGAATTCGATCAAGTTTTCGGGGAGAAACCATCAAAATACTGAGAAGGTAACAAACACTTCAAAAAATGCCTTCTTCTGAGAAAACAACCTGAATCTTTCGGAATCAGCACGAAAATCTGAGTTGAATGAAGTACCTTCCAAGTTGGTTTGACAACTTTCATTTTTTGACATGTTTTCGAATATAAGTAACGATAAACGATCACGATTTGATTATAAACGTCAAAAAATGGAAGTTGTCAAACCAACTTGGAAGGTACTTCATTCAACTCAGGTTTTCGTACTGATTCTGAATATGATATTATTATTTTTATTACATGTAAATTAAGTTTTGATTTAGAAAATGGAGGATAACGAGCCGAGTTCTGACATTTTAGAAAAAATTACTTTTCTCAATAATAAAAAAGAATTTCAAAAAACGCGATGCATACTTTTGTTGCTCACCAAATGGCGGTTCGAATGACGTAAGAATGAAGGTTCTATGACTTACCAGGAATAACTAGATAGGTTTGCAAAATTAGGTACTATTATCGCCAGAGATAGTGCATCATGGATTTTTTAAATTGGGCATATAATATGAGATGAAGCTCTAGACAACATTTCTAGACTCGATTTTATATGAGGAATCCAAAAATCACATAGAGGAGAACAGAAACTGGAATGGTAAAAAAAAGATTCAGGTTGTTTTCTCGGAAGAAGGCATTTTTTGAAATGTTTGTTACCTTCTCAATATTTGATGGTTTCTCCCCGAAAACTTGATCGAATTCGAATCAAAAGGTGATATTCCGAATCAGTTTAGTTAGGTCTATCCGACTGTGTAGCTTTATAGTGCTGCATTTTTTGCGAGCACTTTACAAAGATTGGATTCTGAAGGAGAAATTTCATAAAACCATTAAGTTATGAAAAACATCGAATACTGTTGTCCTGTTCCATTCTCAAAGCCACAACTGTTTTTTGGGAATACAACGTAAGAAACTGAGTCTAGAAATGTTATTTGGAGTCTGGTTAGATATAACGTGTCCAAAATGGAATCTCACGTTCAGAGAAGATCTAAAGCAAGCGGACAAAGTAGGGGGGTTGATAAGAGGCAGTATCAGCCCCCTCTCAGATCAATCCTATATTCACAGATCTGATTTAGTTTTTGTCCGTGATTAAAATTAGCACCATAAAAAATTCACTTTGGTGACCGCTAGAAAAAGTTTAGCATCCAAGTTTTCGCTCGTTAGGTGAACTTTACTTAGAGTATTCTCCCAATTTCTTCTCTTTCTCTCAGGATCGAAACTGAGTCGACCAATGTGTATTTCTATCCGATCCGACTACTTTAATTCTTGTGGAGTTTTCACGTTGAAAAGGTATCGAGATTTTCGCCAAAAAACGAAAATCAGCTTAAGATTTCGAAATACACACTAGTTGACTCAGTTTTTGATCCTTATTCCGAATATTATATTTTATTGTCAAAAGGTTGAGTTCTGATGGAGAAAATTGGGAATTACGAGCAAAATTCTGATTTTCGCCTCTGATTTAGAAAAAATGACTTTTTTCAGCAACGGAAAGGAATTTAAAAAAAGCGATACTTACTTTTGATCTACGTCTGATGGCGATCCGAATGACATATGAAACTTGGCTTCATCTCTTAATACAAAAAGCCAGATAGGTTAAAATTTGTTCCGCACTTTTACCTCTCTCTGAACATGATGTTTGCGATTAGCTCCGTTATATGCGATAGATCTCCAGATAATATTCCTAGATTGACTGGATCTTAAAAATGTAATGGCAAAAACATGTTTAATATTTTTTGAGAAAACTGACGACTTTTCGAAACCCGAGACTCCTCCACTATTTTGAGAATTTGTCACCCAAAAATCAAGTTTTTTAAGCTAAAACCTACATATTCTGAATCAAATCGTCAAACTCTATCTGATGATGTATAAATAATCCAAAAATAAAATGGTACTTAAATTTTGAGTTTGCAGCTCCTTACAAAAATATTTATTACTGCTGTATTAACAGCTAAGTGAAAAGTAGAGCAAAGAGCTATCTTCTATTATCACCGTCTTCCCGCTATAATTATAACTGTAATGAAAAACAAGAAGAAATACTTTTGTAGAAACAGAAAGAAAAATTTTAAGTTCTCTCTCCGCCATTACTTAAAATTAATAGTGGCAGGACTTGTAAGATAAATGTATTCGTATTTTCGTAGCTATTTCGCTCTATTTTTAATAATAAATTTCAATTTCAAAATCTAATTAGCTGCGAAAATATGAACAGGAAGAGACGATTGTATTCAGTTAATGTCCAAAATGACCTTCTTAAACACAATGAATGGACTATTTTTGAGTAGATAAGTACATGTATATTATACCATTCGAAGAAGGAGAGAAAGCTGCATCTAGCAACAGTATCAAAACTAAAATGTAGAGTAAATTTTGGTCCTGTCCTAGGAAGTCATGAAGTTTTTGCAGATTTTGTGCAAAATTTATCTTTCTTTAATCGTACCACATTGAAAAAATTTTAGACAGATATTGAATTAGCCAAAAGATACAATTTAAATAAATGTCGTGAGTGAGAGAGACTTTAGTGAATCGTTTTACACAGACCATAAGTTATTCTACATTTTAGTTCTGATACTGTTTCTAGATGCCGCTTTCTCTCCTTCGAATGGTATAATATCCACATACTTATCTCAAGCGGGAAACAGCCGATTTTAATGACTTTTGTAATCTGAGCTCCATTTCGCAGGCAATCAATTTTTTCTGACTGTTTTTGAACTTTCCCGCGTTTGTTCCGCTTAGTACCATTTTCAGTCATTTTTAAAGATTTTCGCGATTTCGTCGGATTTTAATCCCTTTTTCCCATTTTTCCTTGTACACCCAGGGATTCCTCTAGTTTTTCGAACTTTGGCAAGTCTGTATAGGATTCTCCAGACTTCAGTAAGTTTGAGAGTTCACAACTGCTTGGAATTCTGCTGATTTTCCCTTGAGTTATCTACTCAAGAATAGTCTATTAAAATAAGAAAATGTAATCGAAGTATGTACTAGGACGCAGCCAATGTCTTCAATACTGATGAAATACCGTCGGTTACCGGCTCGGTTATCGGAGGGTATACAGCAAACTTAAGCGGCAAATTACCGTAGTACGGTTTAGCGGCGGTAGTTTTTCGAACTGCGTTGAACCGGCGGTAATCACAAAAAAAGTGCAACATGGAAGTGATCTTGAAAAAGCTTTTTTATAACGAAACTTTGTCGATGTAGAATTGAGATCCAAATGTAAAGCATCAACATTCATCAATGGTATCCGTAAGTAACGGGGGTGAGATTTCGCACAAAAAATTCCTGAATACTCAGTAGTAGGGGTGTTAATTTAGTGGAACTTTATATAAAACAAATATAAATGAATCATTTACGTTTATAAAATAAATATAAATAAATGAAAAAGAAATTTATCTTTATTTTATAAAAGTAAATGATTCATTTATATTTCTTTTTTTATTTCTACTTTTACTTTTAAAAATAAAGTAAGAATATAAATGATTCATTTGTATTTATCCATTATTATAAAAATAAAGTAACATTCGTTTTTTATACTTCATGTCCTATCATTTTATTTGACAGACAGTTCTAATTTGTAGAAATACAACAACGACAGCGGGCACAATCTATGTCTCAAAAAGCATTAGAACCGGCAGCGCATCAACAAGCAAATCACAATCGTGGCGCATTAGGTAAGAGCTGTTATACGATGATCTCATGGAAATCAATCGAAAGGATATGATCCTCTTTCTAGCTTCATCAAAACCAATAGCTTTAAGTCCGGGTGCGTCGGGAGATCACAAATCACAGTCAGCTGTTGGTAGGTAAACAAAAACGCTATTTATGTTGACATAGCATAAATCTCCATTTTAGAGAAACCATCTCGTCAAATGTATTTATTTGATCTAAAAAGAAGTAATTTAAAAAACATTGATCTAATACAATATAGTAAAATGAAATACGGAGATAGAGCTTCAACAGACAAATACGGTATACAATTGGCCACACATTTTATCGAAAAAGAAGGTTTTACGTGTGAGAAAAGTTCACAATATTTGTTTGCATCTAGTGCCTATCGTCACGTGCCCGTTGCTGCAACATGGCTATTTCGAAAACTTGTCGATGCTCTACAAGACAAATTGAATTGTTCATCCGGTGCCATTTCATCATTTAAAATAGAACGTAAATCATTAACATCCGGTGATTTTAGTAAGATGGAGGAGAAAGCCCGAAAGGAAGCCATGGATAAAACAGAGCTGGAAATTGATGACACACTAATCCATGGAAAAACACTGGTTATTTTAGATGATGTTGTAGTGACTGGATCACATGAAGAAAACATTAAAAAGTATCTACGTGGAAAATCTCATGCGGGATCCATTTTCTTCTACATAGCCAAAATAAATCCAGAAGAGAAGGCAAAAATTGAAGACGAAATAAATAGCAAAGCAATGACTGGTATAAGTGATTGGATACAAATAGCTAAAGACTCACCCTATATTACTGTTCGATATTTGAAATATGTGCTTGAAAATGATAAAATTGATTTTACCGAATTTCAACAAAACCTACCATTACTTTATCGACAAGCGCTCGAACAAATTATGTTAATGGAGGATTTAGATCAACTTTTACCCAAAGGATTCAAAAAATTCAAGGAAAATGCGCTCGGAGAATGAACTATTCATCTCTATCTATTGTTAAAGCTATTTATGATTCTGTTCTATATTTATTTTTCTGTCAACATAATATATATGTATATATCGGCTCGAATAGGCAACGGTTAACCACGTTGCAAAAACATAAAAAAATATTTCTTTCTTTTTCCAGACTGAATGATACATCACCAGATGTAGGTTTTGATGCTGATCACAATATCGTATTGAAACAGACAAAAAGTAGAAAATATTCAATTTTACAGGGACTTTTTAGTCATATTTTACTAAATTCTCACAAACTTAACACAAACGATAGTCTGAGCCCTTAAACAATACCGCCGGTTTATTATTTTTCCTTCATTCATCATCATATCATATGTGTAGATAGTACTCGTCAAGGCGCATCTAACGTTATATGTTTTGAGTCCAGGAAATCGTTCATCAAAAGTTATTTCAAAAATAAAATTTTTGGAAATTTTAGGGGGAAGATAGTGTATTCTAGCTTTCTCCTCTAACTGAATAAGAATATTTCATATACCGGTCGATTTAGGAATACTTACTCTATCTTTATGTATGTTTAATGTATTATGTGCACATAAATCGTGAGAGAAAAATTTGAAAACGTAGAAAAAAAATATTTTCTGCATTATTGATACTTTTAATAAAATCGATATAGCTCAGTTCGGAAGCCTTACCACCAGATCAAACCTTCAGGAAAACATCCTTACATTTTGAGCTACAAATCCTGTGAATATGAGAGACAAATATTTTCTCCTAACGGAGTTATGACTTTTTTATTATCTGATATGAAAGGTAAAAATTGCTAACTTTTTCGTAAAATCCAGTTTTTCGGCTTGGAAACATATTTTTGCAAAACTAAGATTATATTCGTAATCTATGAATAAAACTGAGTCAGAAAATATATTTGGTAATCATGAAAAACCTATAGTTTTGGCTCTAGGATTGCTTAACCCTAAATACCGCCAATTCTGCTCATTATCCGCAATTTCTATTTCAACGATGGAATAAAAAAACTGTTAAAGTAGTTACATTTGTAGAGCTGGTCTTTCTCTACATTTTACATGCATTGGATTATTTTTAAACGTAGAAAGAAAAATTCGCATCGGAAAAACGTATTTTCGTCATTTTCCGGCAGATTTGGCTAACTTGTAGAGTGTCTGCTGACCACATTCCCTAACGTAGGACCTTGAAATTGGTATCAAATGAAAGAGCGCGCCGAGGTCTATATATTTCGATAAAGAAAAGTTATGTTACACCTCGGGATCTTGAGAGAAAAGTTTTTGAAAAACCCGGTTTTCTAGTAAACCGAGTAATCTAGTAAAATTTGCCGAACTATTCTCGAAAACTCTTTAAAAACTGCTCAAAATCCTCTTTTTCACATTCACAAACCATTGGACTTTATTCAGCTCTTCAAGATCTGTCAATAACCATATCGTAACACTTCATCACATACTCCTGAAGGGCTGAAGAAGGAGCGAACATGTAAATTTTAGCATGTGAGCTTCGAAAACCTTTAGAAAACCGTTTTTTTTAAGGTTCCGAGCTCTATCCAACCATGTCCGTAAAACTACTTCAGGTAGCTTCTAAACGTCAGGTGTGTAGTTCTAAAAATAGTCGAAATATTAAATTATCAAATTATACTTGAAATGTTTTTCGAGACAAACATTTCTTTAGAAAGTTTCTTTTCTTTGACACTTTCCTCTCTCATACGATACAGTCAACATCAAATTTTTCTCTTCCCTTCTAACCATAGGCGGCGGAACGTTTTCAGCCTAGGGTAGGCTTAAGCTCAACTTTATAGTAGAACTAGTGGATGTAAGAATAAAGGCTGAAAATTGCTATCTCTATTTATTACAATAGAGAATGCTGTGCGTTTCTTTGTTAGACTTTAATTCTGTTTCCAACTGTAATGGCTATCTAATAGTTTATTTTTTTTTCTAGAAAATCAAGCACTAAGACTTCTGAAAAAAGATGTTGAAAAATATTTAAAAAAA